GATGTCATTGTAGAAGTATGTTTCACATTTTTATATTTTTCACATTTTTGGATTGGATAATAATCTTAATCTTGTTGAATTTTTAGGCAATTAAAAAACTAAGGAACTTAAAGATTATAATAATTAAAGATTGCTTTGACATTTGGAAAAAGACCACTGAAGCTATTAGTAAATATTGTACAAATTTAAAAACATTGGAAATCATTGGTAAACCAAGCATGTTGCAATATAATGGTATATCACATATATCTTCAATAAATAATCTTACAAATCTGAAAATAAGTACAAATTGGTTTATTGGCAATTCGATTCTTCGTAAACTAAGCTTGAATTGTCAACAGCTTAGTTATCTAGATCTTAGTGGTAAGTAGAATTAAGTAAAATTGATGTTCTTCGCTACTATACATATATAAAATACTGAAGTATGTTATTTTCAGATATTTCAGGACATTTTATTAGAGATTATACCTTGCAAGCTATTGAAAATTTTGTAAATCTAGAAGTATTAATTACACGTGATTTGTACCAAGTAACGAGTAATGGTCTATCATACGTATGCAATCTAAAACAATTAACATGTCAGGAATGCAATTTTTTTGATGTGACAATATCTAATCTTCTTCATCATTCATCACAAATGGAAGTATTAGACTTATCTGGATGTTACAATATAACAAACACTACATTAAGAAATGCAGTAGCAGCAACAAACTGTAGAACTAACAATATCATTCTAAATCTGTGTATTGGAGGAACTGCAGTGGATCCTGAAGCATTTAAAGATGAATCTCCGTTTTTAAGAATCATTAATAAAGATTTGCGTTACAAACAAATATTTCCTTTACATCCAAGATCACTCATTGTATAAAGATAGATATTTCTCATCATATAAATACACAATTTACTGTAATTTTAGAAAATAATTTAAATATATTCAGTGTTAATTCCTTATCATCCTTGTATGAAGGTTAATGATGTAACAACTGCTTAAGCTTACGACTTACTTTTAAGCATTTATTTAGTACAATTTTAACTTATAGTATTTATAATATGATGTATTTTTTTCGTACAAGTTGTCCAGTATCCAAAAACATTTTTAAGAAGACTTATACCGTGATTTGAATATAGCGCGTTTTGCACGCTTAGCAACATACTAACACTAACTGTAGAGGGTTGTAAAAAAAAAGGTAGCAACATACATGTGTACATATTTTCAAAATTATAAACAATTTTTCACTTTCTTTTGTATTAGCTGATAAATAAATATTTATCAATGGCAAGGATATGTAACTGACATTTCTCAGATAAAGCTTAATCTAAATACATATGAATGTGCATGTACATAAATTATACAGTAATGGGACCTATTCCGCACGCTTTTCTTATTAAAGCTAGCTAGCTAGCCCTAAGCTAACACGCATGTCTCCACCATTTTACTACACATTTAATTCGCAGTAGATCCTGTGTCAACAATGAATCATTAGCCAATCAGAGCAAAGAAAATTTCTACATCAAGTTCCACTAAGGAATTAAGCTACGGCCTGAAAGTATGCAGGAATAGGTCCCATTACTACGCATAGGTGCTTCTAGATTTCGTTAGATGTACTATTTGAGTATACATAACATATATATAATATATATATGTGTGTATATATACATCTGTAAAACGTGTTACGAGTCATGCAGTATATATCACATAGCTATATAAAAATAAATGCTGCTTTTCCATTAGAATTTTTTGTATACTCTAAATTTCTATTTGCTTTAAACTAACACAGTTGAGTTGAAAATATTAATACTGCATTTGTTTTATACCTAATGTAAACTTGAGTCTTGTGTTGTCAATGTCATGTGCCAGATCCTTGTAAATGCTATCAATTTGAATCAGTAGTGTAAAGCAAATTTGTCATATCAATTATACATTTATCAATCATACATTTAATCTGACTCCTAATACTTATTTTTAGATAATTAAAAATATAGCAAGAAAAATAAATAATTCATAACAAGGCAATATTATTAACTACAAAAATGACATATACAAATTTATTAAATCGGTTGAATGATTTATGTCATAGGGAACTCTCTACAAAGGAGGGTAATCATAATTATATATTATTTTATTAATTAGTATTATTAATATTTTACTAAATTTTAGGTTCTTATATATTTGTTTTAGATGCACCTGAATATAGGAGTACTGCTGAAACAACTAATGATGGTATGCCAATTAAGAAATTATTTGTTTGTAACTTAGCAAAAAGGGTTTGTATTTGTACCTCCGATCGTACGATTAATAATTATTTGAAGATTTATATTCAAAGTTTTTGTTCCCCTAGACTACATACAGACACCTTATTAAACGATTTACAAAGTATGGAAATGTGCAAAATTGCTTCTTAATGAGAAATGAAAGAAAAAGTAATATTGCTTTTGTTACTTTTGACACAGTGGAATCAGCTCTAAGGTGATAATTAAATAAAAATGAAGATAAAATTAATCATAAGAAATTAATGATACTAATGTATTATAATAATCCATAGTGCTAGAGATGAAATAATTCAACTGCATAATAAATATTTAAAAGTAGAACCAGCAGATTCTTGGCATCAACCAGATAGTGTACCATATCGATATTATAATAATGATGGACAGAAATCTGACGAAGAACAGTCAAGTGAACAATACAAAGAAAACTTGGATGAAAATGACATTACAAAGGATAGCATTCAAATATTAAATGATGATTGTTTGATACATATCTTTCATCAATTACCAATTGTAGATAGAATTAGAGCAGAGAGAGGTAAAAATATAAAACTATATTTATTATAGATCAATACATATTAATATTTACAGTGTGTAAAAGGTGGAGATCTTTAATTCAAGGATCATGGAACAGTATTAAAAAGCTGGATCTTTTATGTAAACCATATTCACTTTATCATATGGTAACCAGTACAACTATTCTTCGTAAAATACTGTTGCGTTGTGGTCGATATTTAACTGAAATCAACTTATCAGAAACAAAATATTTATTAAGACCAAGTACATTAACAATTGTTGCAAAACTGTGTCCCAATTTAAAAAATATTGATCTCACTGCCCTCACTGTTTGTTCAGCTGGAATAATTTCATTAACAAACAGTTGTCATAACATTACAAAACTTAGTCTTAGACCAGCCACTTACAACTACCTAACAAACAATGTGGATAGAGCACCCAATTACAACTATGATAGAGACTTACAAAAATTATTTGAAGTAAATAAAACATTACGATATGTTAAAATAGTCAGTGGCCAAATATCTGGAAATTGTTTATTATATTTACCAGTAGAAACAATAGAAGAAATTGTTTTAGATAAGTGTATGCATCTCCAGGAAAAATGTTTATCTCAGGTAATGTAGATATTTTTTAGTCTAATTTCCTCTAAAGAATCATTTGAGTATATACTATTTATATTACCTTAGGTATTTGAAAAACTACAGAATCTAACAACTCTTACATTTATCAATTGTTGTTATGTTAATAGTTCTTTTAATATATTTAAAACTATCAGTACGCACTGTACAAGACTGAAAACATTAAATTTCTTACAAGATGAAGATGTCAACTTTATTTTCAATGATAGTTTACATACTATACAGCTGCCTAATCTTGAAGCCTTAACAATCAACAAGTATACTGGTTGGTATACGGTTGATGTGAACGAATTTCTTAGTTATATGGTATCAAAATGTCGGCAACTTACTTTCCTGAATATCACGGGTAAGTTGAAAATATTTTAAGATAATACAAGACGTTAATTGCATACCTGATCAACTGTTAAATTATATATTAAATAAGAAGTCATTATATATTAAAGTTGCATGATTTTGACTGATGTTTTCCATAATGTACTTATTTTCTTTATGAATGTATTTTAGAAATGTAAAACATAATTTCGTCATTCGTTTCTTTAATGAAATATTATTATACTTTATACTAATTAGATATTTCATTTTTTATATATTTATTTTCTTACATATTGCAGGATGTGAATGTGTCACAAATGTCGGTATAGCAGCCATAGCAACGTTACCAAAATTAGAAACATTAATAATGAATTATATGTATGATGTAACAGATACTAGCATGCATAATATGTGTAATTTGAAAAAATTAGAATGTCGTTCATGCAATTTCACAGATACAACAATTATTGAACTTTTAGCTTCTGCACCCCAACTAGAATTATTGGATTTAACGTCTTGTCGTAAAATCACAAATGCAACACTAAAGGAAGCTGCTATAGTTACTGTAAATAGACCTGACAATATACTCTTAAAAATTTTTGTTGGAGACACTAGTGTAAACTTGAGTAACTTTAAGGAAGTCTCGCCGTTTTTACAAATAGTCAATGTTGTTTGAATCAATATTTGTCTAAAGACATAGTCAAAATGTTTTTGCATACAGTTTGTAATAAAATAAAATGTCGTGTAATGGTTTTATAATGCTATGTGTCTTTTCCAAAATAAAATGTGACGTTTTTTTTCAAAATTTGAAAATAATAAAATCATATTTCAATGTAGGATAAATTTATTCTTTGCATAATTACAACATTTAGACAGTAAATCGATACAACGGCAATTATTATGCACAAATTTGTAACAAGGAATATATCCATATATTTATAATAAGTGCCAGAAGTAATCGTTTCATTGACAGTTAAAATTCACTGTTTCGTGAATTTAGATTTTTTAACTGTGTTGTTTTACATTCGCTTTTCCTAAACAGAACTCCGATATTAAAAATGATATCAGTTTACAGTATATATCGTGAAAGTTGTGTCTTTAATAAATTGCGTTACACACATCATACATTAGATGTATAAACATAATACGAAACATCAGTTCTTGGGCGTCTTATTCCGAAATACATCAGTGAGTGTATGTACTCTCACTGTGCTTGCAAAGATCACAATATGCTCGTAGTGCTATCCGATATTTTTTAAGCCAAATCGGGAAAGGCTGAACAACTATATTTGTTTTCTACAGAAAAAAAATATTTATGCAACCATGAATAAGTAAAACTAAAAGTTAGATTACATATAATATGTGTAATGAATAGATGTACATGTGCAATGAATAATGAAGTTTACTTACAATTCTCAATTAACTATTTTATTGCGATGTTTTGTAATGTAAGGAGACAACGGAATTTGTAACCATTGCATATAACATAATACGAATGTTTACA